CTGTCCTAGACTTCTAGGTATTTGAGCTGGACAGATTTAAAATGGGTCACCCTGTACATCCTGAGGGATCCCCTCTGTGTTCGGCTTCAGATTGGTGTTGCTTGGCATCGAAAGGGTTTTAGCTCAGCCTTGGTAAATTTAAGGGAAGCCTTTCAGGGAGCATTCGAGGACACACTGCTGACAGTTAATGCTCTATTTATTCTCACTGTTAATTAGCTATTACCATCCGAGGAAATTTGTCTGTACTGTCCATGTATCTATTCAATCGCCATTCAGGAGCAGTAATGTGGTTTGATATTTCACATTTGGATATTGCTACTAACCGTTGGTGTCCATACATTAAAGAGCATAGAAACAGACAGCAGTAAATCTATTACTTCCAAAAATTCAACTGCTACTTCTGCATTATTGATTGCAGAAAACTAGATGCAGAGGTGATTACTTTAATAAAATTTGATAACTGAAATCTTGGTTCCTTGTTTTTACTACTTCTCAAATGTAAGGATTTACTGTTTTGTTTTTTTAATATTAATAATTCATCTATTCTGAGAATCTGTAAGTCGAGTAAAAATGCCGAACGGTTCCTTTTTCATCCTCTCAGTTCTTAAGAGGAGCTGCTGTTTGTTCTTTCTTTCATGTGACAGTAAGCTGATGATTTTGTTTGAGAAACTTAGCGGGATAACCACATCACCTTGTATTATGGAAGATTGTCAGTAGTTGCTTTGGATTTGTGATTTTGTTTTACTGACAAAGGGCTGGATGAATGATTTAAACTCAGAGCAGTCGTGCTGTTAAGAGGGAATGTCGGAGGTGGAAAAAGGATAAACTGCATGTATCATTTCAAATTCTAAAAGACTGCTGGCATCGCTACCAGAACACTGTTAAAGAGGCAAAAAGGGAATATTTTGCAAATATTATTTCTTCCAACTGTCATAACCCACGTGTGTTATTTAGGACCATTGACACTGTTCTTAATACTCTTTTGAATGCCTGTTTGGAAGTTTCTCCTGAGATTTGCAATGATTTTCTGAACTTTTTTATTGAAAAGGTTGTCACCACCAGGGCTCTTATCACAGCTCCTGACTCTGACCCCTCTGTCTCTGTCCCTTGCGCTGCTGTTTTCACTCAGTTTGAGCTTGTGACGCTCTCCACTTTAGAGGATGTGGTTCACCATATTAAGCCCACAGGTTCCCCACGGGATCCTGTCCCTCCACAATTCTTTAAAGAAATTTTTCCTAGTATACAACAGTATGTCCTTGACATTATTAACAGCAGTCTGTCTTCTGGTATGGTTCCTGCAAATTTCAAACATGCAGTAGTCAGCCACTGCTTAAGAAACCTGGCCTTGATCACACAGTTTTAGCGAACTATAGGCCTATTTCCAAGCTGCCTTTAGTCTCCAAGGTTTTAGAGAAAATTGTTTTTAGTCAACTGAAAGATTTTCTAGATGAAAATGGAATCTTTGAGGTTTTTCAATCAGGTTTTAAAACCCTTCACAGCACAGAATCTGCATTATTAAGGGTTTTTAATGACATCCTTCTGGCATGTGATTCTGGTAACCATGTTGTTCTTGTCTTGCTTGACCTAACTGCTGCCTTTGACACCGTAGACCACAATATTCTAATTTCTCGATTACATGATGTAGTGGGTATTGGTGGCACTGCACTTAATTGGTTTAGGTCTTATTTGTCAGATAGAACTTTCTCTGTCAGCCTTCTCGGTTACGAATCGTCTTCTGCTCCTCTGTCATGCGGCGTCCCACAGGGCTCAATTTTAGGGCCACTGCTCTTTTCACTGTATCTATTGCCTCTGGGTTCTATCCTTAGAAGGCATGGGATCTCATTTCATTGTTATGCCGATGACTGCCAAATTTATTTGCCACTAAAACACAAGGATGGCATCTCCATAAAACCTCTCTTGACATGTCTAGATGACATTAAAGCTTGGTTGGCTCTAAACTTTTTAAATTTTAATGAAAAGAAAACAGAAGTGTTGGTGTTTGGACCCAGTGGTCCCTGTGAGTCCTCCTCTGTTGTTTTAGGATCCCTGGAAGTCTATTTTAAATCTGTTGTTACTGACCTTGGTTTTAAGTTGGACAGTGATTTTAAATTGGACAACCAAATCAGAGCAGTGGTGAAGTCCAGTTTTTATCATTTAAGGCGACTGGCAAGAGTAAAATCTTTTCTTTCGAGGCAGCACCTTGAAACAGTGATCCATGCTTTTATTTCTTCCCGCCTGGACTACTGTAACTCACTTTATGTGGGGGTCAGTCAGTCATTGCTCTCACGTCTGCAGCTGGTTCAAAATGCGGCTGCACGACTCCTAACAGGAACTCGAAAAAGAGAGCATATAACCCCCGTGCTAGCCTCTCTGCACTGGCTGCCTGTGTCTTTTAGAGTTAATTTTAAAATTCTTATGTTTGTTTTTAAATGCCTTCACAGTCTTGCCCCGCCTTACCTCTCTGAGCTTCTTCATCCCCACATACCCTGTCGGTCTCTCAGGTCAGCTGACCAGCTGCTCCTGGAGGTACCGAGATCCAGGAGGAAGCTCAGAGGGGACAGGGCCTTCTCTATTGTGGCTCCAAAATTATGGAATAATTTGCCCATGCATGTTAGAGAGGCCCCTTCACTGTCCACTTTTAAATCACGTCTTAAAACCCACTTTTATTCCTTGGCTTTTAACCTCAGTGAGACTTAGTTTCTCTTTTAATTGAAGTAGTTATTTAATTAATGATTTCACTCTTGTTTTATTTGGTTTTTATTTATATCTCATGTAATTTTATTTTACAGTTCCAATGTACAGCACTTTGTGTCAGCTGTGGTTGTTTTAAAGTGCTTTATAAATAAAGTTGATGATGATGATGATATACTCTTTTTATTTAAAAAAAAAAACACACCGACTGGCTCTGAAGCAGGGTGACACTTGTGGATTTTCATTATGTTCAAAAGGGAATGCTGCTTTGAGTCTTTGAGCTAGCCCAGTGGAAATTCTGTCAACAGATATAACGACAGGTGTCTCGCCCGCTGATTCAACACTGCCTCCCAAATTACCGCTATGAAAATATTTCAGCTTGCTTGTCCAACCCACTCACCCTGAAGCACCAACTTAAGCTTCCTGTCTGCAGTAAAATTATTTCAATCACAGTCACTTTGAGTTGTAACTTCCCACTGGCTAACTTTAGTCGGCAGGAGGAGGCAGGAACAGAGGAGGGCTCATATCCTGCAAAGCACTACGCCAAGATATGCGACATGGTTGCACTTCCCCGCCTCCCACCACCCTAATGCTCAGGACAGCCGGTTTGTTATATGTGCGTGCTTTGCCAGGCATGGCTCATGTTTCTCAGTGCAGTTTGTCAGAGCCCAGCTTGGAACAGCAGGCACCAGTGAGGCTACATCAAATACATACATTCAGAGCTGACAGGGGGACACCACAATGTTTCTTCCCCAGAAAGAAGCTACGATTTGGGATTGCATTGGGCCATAAAACAGCCCGGTACCATGTTTTTGCCTCCCGTCCTGCACTGTAGCACAGGACGTCTAAGGATCATCTTTTTACATAGAAACACTGCTGGATTACTGCCCCACAGGACAAAGTGTTGGGAGCATGAGTATAAATGTGAAGTTTGAAGGAGACCGATTTTGAGTGCAAATAATTCCTAAGGGACACTTTGTATGAAATGCCACACGTGCTGGATATTCTTTGTTTTCCTGAAGTGGTTTTCCAGTTTTGGCTCCTGGATATCTGAGCTGTTGGGTAAACCTATCATAGTCAATCCCTTTTCTTATCACTTGCTGGGCAAGCTGGTGAATCTGTAGTCGCCCTGTCGTTAGCCACATCAGTGTCCGTGTCTGGTGGGGTGTTGTGAGCCTCAGCCTCCACCATGATGATCAAGGAGGCATCGTTACGGAGGGACCCTGACCTCAGGGGGGAGCTGGCCTTTCTGGCCAAGGGGTGTGACTTTGTCCTCCCCTCACGGTTCAAGAAAAGAATCAAGTCTTTCCAGCAACAACAGGTCAAGTGTGCATGCAATAATAAAAAAATAATAATTATAAGCGCATAAAGATGTGCAGATGCAAATGTATATCTGTGTACACACACATACATTAGATGCATCTGGTTCTCTAACACACACAGAGTGACATGCCAGGGAAGACAAACTATTCTGAGGCAGATACCAGCTGGGTATTAATAGGCCAGGAGGTGCAGGAATAGAGTGACAGAATGAACGGTGTGAAGGAGAGGACTGCTACAGCTGTCCTGCTCAATACACAGAGTATGAAGGCCCAAGAGAAGAGACCAGGAAGTCCCTATGGGAACACAATGACTTTTGATTTAAGATGCAGTGTTGATTAAGCTCCAGTTTTTGTCTTCATATTTTAATAAGTAGCTCTGGAAAATTGGTTGCGTATCACATTTAGGATGTAGTCTAATATTGGGGTCTTGGGGTAAATTTGACCATGTAAGTTATTTGGTAATACATTTTTTTCTGAGATTTTTCTGAGGACTGACTGTATGGATGTGTCTTCTGCCACCTGGAACTTTTCTTGCCAAAGGTTAAAATAAAAGTGCACTTGTGACCGCTTTTTACTCATCTATGACTAACAGAATGGCAGGAAAAAATAGTCTTTTGTGTGTTGTTTATGAGTCACTTTGAGTTTCCAGTTCAACCTTTTACGTAGATTCTCTATCATACTACAGTGAAGTTGTATCTTATCTACAGCTCTGGGGAAAGTTATCTATGACAGTGATTAAATTCTTCATTCTTATTTGTGCTTTTCATTAAAATGCGTACAAAGTTAAGGAAGCAAGGTACGTTTTACATCTAGACTAAGGCAGGTAGTTTGAATCAGTAAGCCACCAAGACTGCAGTCTTTCAGTCATTGGAGCATTGTCTCAAAAAAAGCTGAAATATGATGTTTAAAGTTAGGACCACAAACAGCTAATTAACACCCATCCATGCTTGTCCTTTCCCACACATGATCTCCCTTCTCTCTTTTCAGATCCAGTCGAAACCAGAAAAGAAACCCGGAACGCCTCCTCCCGCTCCAGTTGCAACCACAGCCACACCAGCCCCCACGCCACGCTCACCCAGCCCTCCTCCAGCTCCGGTGATAGTCACCCCTCCTCCTCCTGCCATTAACATTCCCAGGTTCTACTACCCTCGTGGGCTTCCTGCCCTGGGCCCGGCTGCCAACCACGATGCAGAAATTGCTGCCATTGAGACAGTCTTCACCGAGTTTGAGGAGGAGAAGGCTGATATTTATGAAATGGGCAAGGTCGCGAAGGTAAAATCACACCTTTCCCCCAACCTGTTTTTCACAATAGAACAAACTTTATTAAGACAAAGGCAAGCATCTAGATTTAATTCCAGTAAGGCAGTTGAAATGCCAATGTCCATATTGAGACTTGAGACTTCTTTACATTTCCCAGAAGGCTTTTGTTTTTCCTGAGAAATCACTGCATGTAGTGGCCTTGTTAAAACAGGCATGTAGTGGCCTTGTTAAAACAGTGCTCTTTCTAAGCAATGCAACTCTAGGAAACAAACATGTTGTTCAGAGTAAGGTCATACAGGCAGTTGTTGTGTTTCCATTCAGGCATGTGGGTGTCCACTTTACTGGAAAGCACCCATGTTCTACGCAGCAGGTGGTGAGAGGACAGGCTTTGTGTCTGTTCACTCGTTCATTGCAACTTGGAGGAAGTAAGACATGCGCATGTTCTTTAAAGCCTTACAAAAAGAATAAAACAGATGCAACTGGGCTTTGATATCATACGTCTCTCCTCTCCTTTCTTGCAGGTTGTTGCACAGTTGCCATGACGATGCCTCAAAGTTTGTTTACTTGCTGGCTAAACCTGGCTGTAACTACTTGGAGCAGGAAGACTTTATTCCTCTACTGCAGGTAAATATCGTACCAATATAAATGAAATAAGCAACTCTGTTATTTCTGTGCTACACTATATTGTTATGACAACTCTATATACTAATTTTTTCCTGTTTGCCTTATTAGGACATTGTAGATACACATCCTGGGCTCACGTTTCTGAAGGATGCACCTGAATTCCATTCACGCTACATAACAACGGTAAATGGCAAAAACCAATGAGATCAGCTGTGTTTTTAAAAAAATATATTTATTTGTAAGATTGTGTTTTAGCAAATCTCACAAGCTCCGTTAACTGAAAAGGAATAGCAGTTCTAGACTAAGCACCACAGTAATGAGGGAGCTCTTTATGGCCACATGTATCAATGACCTTGTTTGTTCAATAAATGTCCAAAGCTCATGACCAAAGGCAAGTAATGGAAACTAGGTTAACTGGCTTCAAGATGAGAAAACTTCAAAAGTACAAGCACATTACCAGTGAATAACAGAAACATTTAAAACGTGACTGTAACAGTGAACAGCAATTAACTCTCTCAAGATCTTTTCTGTTTAATGACACTTTAATATTCTGTCCTAGGGGTGCCATTATAGTTCACCTGATTGAGTTATAATGACCCTTATACTGAAGGCTAAAGTCCTTCCTGCAGCAGTCTGAATTCACAACTGTGCCAGACTCTGCTGTGAATACTATTCTTCCCACCTTACTATCTAGCCTCCTCTTTCATGCCAAATAAAAGCTAAAACATGCCCCAAATAAAATGATATTTTTCCATAACTACCATTTGGTCTAAAAATGATCCAATTATCCAAAAGAAATCGCTTGATGAGGTTATAAAATACAAAAAAACCCCAACAAATCATATATTCTTCCTTCACCTGCTCCTTTTCCTTATTCTTATGCCTCTGAGCAGCCCATATAGGGGTTGCCACAGTGGACATTTGCCTCCAACTCACACTAGCCTTAGCATCTTCCTCCATTATGTCAACCCTCTGCATGACCTTGATCTTTTCTGTGGTTTTTGTCTCCATCTTCAACATCCTTTGACTAATATATCCACTCACCCTCCTCTGTACATGTCCCGACCATATCAGCCTTGTCTGTCTAACTTTGTCTCTTAACCACTCAATCTGATTAGCATTATAGTCTTATCCATTCTGGTGACTCTCAGCCAAAATCTTAGGTATTTGAGCCCTGGTATTTGAACTCATCTGTCTTCACTATCTCTGCTCCTTGCAGGTTCACTGTTCCACCTGCCTCCCTCTTCTGTCTTGCTTCTACTGGCTTTCATTTCTCTTATCTCTAGAACATACCTCCACCTCTTCACACTCTCTTCCACCTGCTTCCTACTCTCACTATAGAGCAGTATCCATAATCTCCTCTTAAGTTGTCAGCAAAACAGCTTCTCTGTGCCTCAGCTGTGGAATATTAACAGTAGAGCATGTGAGTCTTTGAATGTAGACGGGGACAGCTGTGCAAGCTGAGGGTTTGCTTTTTAAAAGTACTGAGATTTCACTGCACCGATGCGTCAGCCTACGGTGACTTCACGGAAACACTGATGCATTCCCTACCATCCCTTTCCATAGAGACACCCCCTGCATTCCCATTTTATGACACTTCCTATTCAGTTTAGACCAGCTGACGTGCTACTGTATGAGACGCTAGTAACCCATGGAGGTCCATGTACCAGAAAATGGATGATAATCCAGTGTTGTGGGTCTTCCTCTTGGCAAATGGGGAATATTTTTAATATATCTGGATGACGGGGCTTGTACAGACCTCGTGAAAATGTCATCAGTTTTATTTTTAGTTTGACAGTTTCAGTTTTAGACCTTGCCTTGATTTTAACTTTTTAGAATCACCAATACAAAAACCACCAGATGTCAAATACATAAATTAAATTGGACAAATTAAGTTTCTATGATTAATTGAAGACAGCAAAGGCGATTGTAATTACTAAATAGGTTTATTAATAATTCTGTTAAAAGCCTTATCAAGAATTAATAATTCTCTACTCCACTGTTAAGGATATATTAATCATTTTTTGGTTAAAAGTTAATGTAAAAATTTCAGAAATTATGAAAGATGTCTCTCATAATTTAATAAACTCACCTCCTTTAGAAATATAGTGAGGTCTTGTTATTTGGAAGATATTGAATTATAGGATTAATCATGAAAAGTTTTCACATTAATCATGAGGCTTTACTTTCGTTTTATTAGCGCATTTTATGAAAACTATTATATAATAGAATTGTCTTTGTCGCTATTCTACTATAATGTCATCACAGGTGATCCAGCGGATATACTATGTAGTGAACCGGTCATGGAAAGGTCGTATCACAATGATGGAGCTACGCCGGAGTAATTTCCTTCAAACTCTGGCCCTGCTGGAAGAAGAGGACGACATCAACCAGATCACTGACTACTTCTCCTACGAACACTTTTACGTCATCTACTGCAAGTTTTGGGAGCTGGACACTGATCATGATCTGTACATTGACCCCAAAGATCTGGGGAGATACAACAACCACGGTAAGAAAACAAATCTCAGTTAAGGATTTACTTCCCCCAGCTGAAAGAGCTCCATAGCAGTTCAATTGGGGTTTTTCTAATCCTTTATATGAGCACTGAGCCAAAAATCTAATTGTCTGAATCAGTACTTAAGTGTTTGATTTTAATGTGCTTTCACTGATTTACAAATAGTGTCATCTTGTTTCTGTGTATTTACTTCGTCTTTTTATTCTCCCATTTTAACAGCATCCTCAAACAGAATCATTGAGAGATTATTTTCAGGGGCTGTTACTCGGTGAGTAAAACCCACACGTGAACAAGCATACGTAGCCAATTACTTTACTGTAATAACTGTAGAGCATCTAAATGGTTCTGCCTCTTTTCTTTCCAGGGGTAACGCTGTGCAGAGAGAAGGCAGGATGAGCTACGCTGAGTTTGTCTGGTTTCTGATATCTGAGGAAGACAAAAAAAATCCCACCAGGTATTTCAAAAGTTGTTCCGATATGTGTGTGATTGTTTAGATTAGTACACTGCAGGTATGCAACAAGTAATCTGAGTCTGTGCGTAACACATTTGTTACCTGTCTTTCCAGTATAGAGTACTGGTTCCGCTGCATGGACGTGGATGGTGATGGTGTCCTTTCCATGTTTGAGTTGGAGTATTTTTATGAAGAACAGTGTGAGAGGATGGAAAGAATGGGCATCGAGCCTCTACCCTTTCAGGATTTGCTCTGCCAGATGCTCGACCTGGTCAAACCTGAGAACCCAGGTTAGTGCTCAAACTTTCTTGTCCTTAGTCTTTTTTTTTTTTCTTATTTCACAATTACGTTTTAATCAGTAGACGGCCAAACACAACCCATTGTGCTTTTGAGACATTACACCTGCATGTGTGTTTGTTTTATTTCCTTTAGGTAAGATAACTCTGAGTGACTTGAAACGCTGCCGGATGGCTCACATATTCTTTGACACTTTCTTCAACCTGGAGAAGTACCTGGACCATGAACAGAGAGACCCATTTGCTGTGCAAAAGGTGCAAATCTTCAAAATGTATTTATAATATTCAACTATAACTGTGGATCTTCTTGATATTGTGATGATCCACTCGAAGGCATGCATGTTAGGTTATTAGCGATTCGAAATTGTGACTCCCCACAGTGTATAATCTGGCTGGATTTTTTTCTAGTGCCATATAGCTTCTTCGCTTCTTCTTCTTATTATTATTTTTTTTAGTTTTATGTATTTTATCTAAAGCTATAAAACACCAATATGTATTGTGTTTGTGGCGCTCCAGGACATTGATAGTGAAGGTCCAGAACCATCTGACTGGGATAAATATGCCTCAGAGGAGTATGAGATACTAGTGGCAGAGGAGACTGCAAATGAACAGCTGCACGAGGGGTAAGGCGTAGACACGTTCACACTCATTCACGTTATTAACTAAAAGTTTATCATTTTTATTAAGAATAAAGGTGTATATCGGTTCTCTCTGTTGTGTTCCCAGGTCATTTGATGATGACTATGAATCTGAGGAGCTTCAAGTTCCTGGAGAAATTGGGAAAATGGAAAAACTGGTCATATCAGACCTGTCTGCATAAAACTTGGAATTCTTGGGCTTCTCTTTCTGGTAAACAGAAAGCAGCAAGGTGATGGAGAGCCACTCTGGATATATGCATCCATACATGGATCGAAAGACAGACAGAGAAAGGAATTCTGGCTCCTGTCTCATGATTTCTCTGTGGAGTTATTGTATTGTATGTGTGTGTGAGTATGGCCATAAACCAGTATTGTTCTGGTGTCTGGTGCAATAATGCATCTGTATTCACACAAAAAAGAATGTCCCTGCCTCCAGCTTTTTGCTCCACAGAAGCCAAAGACAGAAGTTTGGTAAGCTCAAGAAGGACTCAAAGAAAAACACTTAACTGTAAAATAATGTAATTATTGTGAATTCTCTACTGACAATCCTGCCAAAGGACAATCTTTTTAAGAATTTTGCTAAGCTCAAGTTAGACTGACGGGAAGCCTGCCATGCACACAAGTAGGCATCTAGTGGGAGAAACTGGCAGGTAGAAAAAATAATGACAATGAATAGACACTGCCATTGAAGAGCAACAGTCCACTGCTTAAAAGTATGACACACACTGCCTTGAGAAACCTGCTGTGTGAGCATCTTGTCACCATGTTTCTCGTAAAGGAAGCTGTTAGTCCCTTTAATTAGAGGTCATAGAACAGCTTGAGCGGTTATATCAGCACCTCCACTTAGTGGCCAGTATGTGGTACTGCATGCCATCCGTGGCCTGCACAGTGCTTGATGGCTGGCTGTCATTTCTGTGAAGGAGTTTAGTTGCCTGAACTGTTCTTTATTGTTGCAGCACTATCAGCGCTCCACCTCTGGACGCTCTCCGGAGTCATGGACAGTTATTTTCAAGCTCTACAATTTCAATGTATTAATTCTCAATCAGATAATGGTGAAAGATATGGGATATGCACATCAAGTGATGCACAATGCCAGTCATATCAAACTCTCCGGTAGAGTTGCCCAAACATTTCCACCAGTAACATTTGTAATGAAACAATAGATGTGCCTACGATTTGTAAGTTGTTCCTGCCAGTCTCATGCAACATCTCACTGTATGTTTTCCCACATCCTTCTTTTCTTTTCTTTTCTTTTCTTTTCTTTTCTTTTCTTTTCTTTTCTTTTCTTTGTTAAACCTTTATTTTTTTATGGAATTTTCAATTTGACAAGCAGAAGTGTAGAACAAAAACATTGGGCTTGAGTAAGCTCAGCGCACATCCAAGACAGACGCACCGATACAGTACATTACACAGAAAGCTGAGCTTTATTGTTTTAAGTTAAAAAGAGAGAACTGGGAAAAGTCATTCTGTCTTTTCATCATCAGAGTTATCTTCTCCGTTTATTCTCTCACATCCTTTTTTGAATTTGTGCACTGCCTTCTAATTCATGTGAACTGTTACTGTCGTTTAGTCTCTGCAAAAGTATCCCCTTTTTACATACCTGTTTACATCTCATCACTATTGATCATTTGTTTATCAGCGTTTCTGAAGTCCACTCTACCTGTAACACACAAAAACACACCACTAAAGATGCCTTTTAATAAATAGGTTGCCTAAAGCAAATTTTAAACTCACATATGTAGTGGTATCATGCCGGCAAACCATTACGTAGATACGTTTGAGATTTCAAACAGCACTTCACTACAGTGTTTGTGGCTTTTAGAAAAAATGATTCTCTGAACACGTGTCCCTGTTATTCAAACAACAGAAGACATGCTGAAGAGTTTCCAGTAGAACTCTCTGTAGTGTACATTGTCCTGACACTACAGTTTGTGCTTTATAGAGACTAAGATGCATAGATGTGTCACTGCTCAATTGCTGTATAGATTCTGTACTGATATGAAGCCTTTTTTTTTTTTTTCAGGCACATTTTTCTTAAAATCTCTTAAAACCAGTTGTTATAGTACAACCCAATCAATGTTTATGGTTAGATGCCACTATGTGAGTTTGGTCTGTGAACCCTTTAACTCCTTTATTTACTGTAATAGCTAGGAGTGTGTTTGCACTGATAGAAGAGTGTGCTTTAGGAGCCTGTGTTGTGTAGCTCTGTTTAAAGCCGTTTTGTTGCCATGGGGATTGTGCTCCAGGATCGGTGGATGTGTGTGCCCTTGTATAACTCTGTAATTAGTAGTAGTCCTCAGTGGCTTTAAATTCACCGATATATACATCCTTTTCTGGCATTTGCTGTACAGACTCACCATAGTATAGTTGCAGTTGAAGGGTAAAAAAGACAGCTTGCGGATGCTGCAAGGTTTTAAGGACCTTGATCACCCCACTTCTGCTTTATATTTGTTGTAAATCTCTCTAGCTTTGTAATAAGCAATATTATAATATTATTAACAGTAATAATGAGCCATTATGGACATAACAACTGTAATATGATGGTTTGTATTACTGTGCCACTGTGTGGCTTTGGGATGGGGGGTAAATTATGTTAGCTGTGTGTATGCTTGTGTTAGACGTGCAGTGGATTTTATCAGCAGAAGTGGGTGAAATCCTCTTTTCTACCCAACCTGACAATCACAAAATTTGTAGATACAAGATATCATCTAATATAGAAACTGTTGAGACAGATTTTTCACTGCTGTGATCACATTCATTCACTCTTAAAGAGATTTCTTCGCCTATACGGTATACAAGAAAGAACTAATTATGGTGATGAGACATCAAGTCTGGACGACGACTTTTTGGTTCTATGCAAAGTATCCTGGTGCTCACGCTCCAAGCATCAGGCAAGGAGCAAAGCCATGCAGGAGTTTTACTTTACTTTTAAAGGTAGAGAAAAGAGTTTATTTTTGATCTGTGCACAGAAAACTTGAGTAGGCTGAGATGTGATGCAAAGTCTGGTGGTTATTGTATTGGCATGGTTTTCCCTCTTTACATCCATCAATTCTTTCTTTTAGTCTTTCAATCTTTCTTTCTTTTTTCTGTCCTGTCTCCTGTTATTTGTTGCTTTCATTTTAAGTTTAAAAGTTTAAATAAAGATGTTTAAAAAAATATTTCCTCTTTGCTCTTTATGGTCTTATTCCATGACACACGTGTCACATTCAGACATCGTTATTCCCTCCTGTGTACACACGCTTTGTGCTCTTAACGTGTTTGCATGCACTGGTGCTCAATAGCCCGTCTTGGATACTGGCTATTTTCATTCTTAAAGCTTAAGATTTTTCATGTTGTTGTTTAATTTCATCTGTTGTAGTTATTTTTAACAAATAACATTTGACCCTATATGGCTTGTATGACGCTGCAGTGAATCAATATGCTAGCATCAGAGCCTCCATGACAAGAGCAGGAGCTAAACAGGAAGTCTGTGGTCAATGAGTCACATTGTTGAGGTTTTTTTTGTTTTGTTTTTTTCTTTTTGGATATTTATGAGATTCCCAAATTGGCAACAACCAAAAATCTAGGGTTTATTGTGATTGTAGATTACATCAGCTGAGCTGTTTTCCAAGCATACTGTTTTTGCTGCCCCAGCTTAGAGGCATGATTATACAGGTGACAAGTAAGCCAATGAGCTACAAAACCTTTTTTTAATCTGTAGTAGCAAAGACAATCTCCATTGAGCTTACAGTGTCATTGTTTCTGCTCTCAGCGAGTGTTGCATTGGCTCAAATGTGTCTAAAATACTGTAAGCAATACCTAATTTTATACAATAGAACAATGGTAAGAAATGCATTCCATGAATCAAAATTAGAATACTTTATTAATTCCTTAGGAAATTATGTGACTTACAGTTACTCCAAGACAGTAACAGATTAAACTATTTAAATAATACAATATGTTACAGAGTTTACAAATTTAATAAATGGCATTAATATATACAAATCGCTCAACTAAAAATATAAAGAATATTACGGGGTGGAATATATATGATTGACATTTGACTCTAACCTGTGAACTTTCTCATTTGCTATTTTACAGTAGCACGTGTGTAGGTATTGCATTGTTTACAGTGTATTAGATGAATATGGGTGTGCAAATGAGTATGAAAAGAATATGGGTCTCTCTCTCTCTATGTTGGCGCTATGGTGGCCCCCAGCAACACTGGACTGGATAAGTGGTTACAAAGATGGATGGAAAATGACATATATAAATGACATAGGCTTTGAACCCCTTGAATGCCATTTTGACAGTTATATTTTCATCAATTAAAAATTTAATAAACTCTAAAGTTTCTACAGTGATGCCAATCGCAGTGTTTGAGTTACAATGGTAAACAGCTCCTTAGCATGTTTGATGGCACTGTTGAAAAATGAGGTCAGCAAGGTTATTTTGTCATCCTTTGTGCTATATAGGTCTGTACCATGGCTCTCAAGTTGTCTTGATATTGGACAAATCAGCAAAGTGACTGAAGATGAAGATGCATTTGAGAATGCAAGTATTTCATGCATCCCACTGAACATTGAAGGGTCTTTACCCTGCCAACTTCCTACTACATAGACTGATATCTGATTGCAACCTTGTGTGAAAAAGATGGAGTTGTATCTCCTGGACATCCTACCTACCCAGTTAGGTTGCCTAAAACAGCGGTCCCCAACCCCCGGGCCTCGGACCGATACCGGTCCGTGAGTCGTTTGGTACCGGGCCGTGAGAGTAAAGGCTCAGGTATGAAATGTGTGGTTTTCAGGGTTTTTATCGGTTTTCAGCGTTATTTTGTTATCGTTTTTATCGTTAACTCTGTTTTCCTGGGTCTTTTCACGTGTGTTATGAATAAATCTTCTTTTTTTTTTGGTACCGGTACTAGTTTTATTTTGTTGTATTTATCCGCGACACCTTAAAGGTCAGTCCATGAAAATATTGTCGGGCATAAACCGGTCCGTGGCGCAAAAAAGGTTGGAGACCGCTGGCCTAAAACACACGAGAAAAGACATTTTTGGACTATTCCATGTACCCAATTCTTCTAATGTTTTTAAAAGTTTGTGAAAATGTCAGGAGGCTTCATCTTGTGGGGACCATAACTTTTAATTATAATGTTTTAATTCACAAGTTGTGATCACACAAATTAATTGCTTCAGCTAACTGTGCTTTTAGATGAAACTGTTTTTACAGTGTTTTAGTTCCACCCCTCTGTTTTCACCCATCTTGATAAAACTGATTTGTGTAAATAGCACTTAAGAAAACGTATGTTATATATTTCTGTGGGGATGTAATTCTTGGCAAAATGAGGGTGATTGCAGGCACCGTTTCTTCTGGGGGTTTATTGTTCTGAATGCACTGATTGTTCGAACAATGGTGTAATAGCTGGCACGGTGTCACATTGTGATTTGCTCACGAGCAATTGGCCTCCCAGCGAAGGTCAGAGTGGACTGGTCATTGTTTAAAATGGCACTCTGCTTGTTTTCCACAAATGTCAGGGACAAAGAAATTAGCCAACCAGATCGCTGGCCCACCTTCTTGAGTCACAGACATTCCATGGCTGTGATTGCCAACGCCCACCACCCTATGGTGGGGTGACCCAGCCAGTGTGAAATCCCCACCGTGATGTCATGACTGGAAGGTATTCTTTAAGATGGAACATATGACATGATTGGCAAAGATGGAACAAATACAAATCTCATCTAAACACTGTGTGGGGATAAAGCTGACTGGGAAACCCACAAAATGGTGAGGCGACAACTGGAACCAATTGATCTCATCAACGAGAAGTGCATGGGCACTGTAAGGCCTTGATTAATGTAGAGTGCGGTACTTGTTCCATGCATACCAGTGATGCCAGAAACATAAGCTTTGGATAAAGCTGTCTGAGAAAGTCCTGAAAAGAGGAAGGAAACAACTGGAAGCAATTCATCTTATCAAAGCGAGACAAAGAGATGAGCTTGGGCAAAGAAAGCCTTTGAAATCGCTTCTTGTTCCAGATGCTCCAGAGATACCAAATAGAATATTAATACTATCTATTTCAAGCCAAAAGACCCCCAAAACAAGCCTAAAATGGTAAAAGAGTCCAAATAAGAGAAAAGATATAATTTGTTTTAACATTAGTTTCTCTTTCTAGCATGTCATGTTGGTAAATTTGTATTTAAATTCTCACTGCATTACATATATATCCTGATGTAATGCAGTGAATTAAAAACCATAGATTAAACAGTGTCATGTGTACAAATAAGAAGTTAGCAAAGAACCAATTGTAGAACCAGCTGCATTTCTTTAGTTGAAATTATAAATAATGCCAAAGATTACGCAGTTTGACACACAGGTATTAGCCAAAAAATGTTATATCTCACCATGGCATGCATTGTTTCCTTAAAACATTGAGGAAACTGGACAAGTGAAAAACAAAAGGAGATGAACGTCATGTCCTTAAAAAAACAGGACAAAAACATCCAGCAAACACCTAACACGTGACCTGGGAGATGCATCTCACCATTCCATTTATCCACACACTCTTCACTCAAACCTCATCAGGAATGGTCTCAGTGGAAGGCTGCCTGTCAGGAAGTCATTCTTAAGGACGGGAAGCAGGAGGGAAAGACTGAGGTATGCCAAGTTACACAAGAACTGCAATGATAATCAGTATCATAAAATTGTCATCTGTGTGTATGGACGAAGTCAGGAGGCTTTTGATTGATCATGGAATACCATCTGAAAAGAATGATCGCAAACAAAAAGGCCAATGCAGCAAAAGCATACACAATGGAACACGATTGGCTGAAGAATAAAGGTGGCAATATCAAATATTGATTTAAAAGGTCATTAGAAGTCTAAAAAGTCTGTTTTTGCCTTGTATACTATATTTCCATGTATTTTTGCACATCTTTTAATAAATCACTGCAACTATTACTCATTCGCCTTGCAAAATATGAAGAGCTCAGAGGTAGTTCAAGATTTTTGCACAGTACTGTATTCCAATAAAATGCACAATTTAGGTCATGGAGGTACAAACACATGTCAGAGAAATCATTTTAGTATATAACAGTCCAACCGGCTGCCCTGCATACTGAAAAAGGAGGAAAAAAAGGTTTGGAGGGGGCAGAGAGGTGGGAGACATGTCTGCACTTGCTGGTTTGCTGAGAGCCTTGGGTTGACTCTTTTGAACTCATGATGAGGTAAATTCCATCCTCACATCTTTGGAAAGAAGTACCTCACATGCACACACACATGCACGCGCCATCATATTGCACCTCTCTGTTCCAAGGTGCCGATTATCAGCCCATTACCTGCTCTTAGACCAGCATTTCTGATAATGTGTACACAAACACTACATATGTACACGCAACATACACCCATAAATGCATACATAAACACACACACGTGCAAGATCTAAGAGTGGAGTAAGGGCATAATTAACATCTAGAAAACCACACTGAAGAGCTGGCTGCTGTCCAATAATCTCATTTCCTGCTTTCCCTTCTTTACTTTCTATCTGTTATAAGAATATAGAGTGCATATTATCATATGGCTGGACACATTCCACTTACTTCAAAGCCCTTTGGTGAGTGTGCATGATTACAGGGTGGGCTTGGTTTAAAGAGAATCAGAGAGAGAAAAAATCTGAGGAGGAGAGATGAGGAGAAAGAAGGCAAGAGAGAAAGCAGCTGGGTTGGTGGTAAACATCTGGCAGTTGTGGAGGCCTGGCCCTGACATACAGGGGAAATAGTTGCGTTGCTGTTCCAAGATCTGCTCCCTCCAGTCTTTCCTCATCCGCTCTCCTCCACAGATCTAATCTAATGTGACTAAATGTCTGTAATGGTCCAACACGTCACTCGAGGTTGGCCTACTTTGGCTTTGTTAGCAGAATTATTTAAATCAAGAAGGTATTTTTTTAAAATTCACAGACTGATTGTCTCCGACTACTATACATTGTTTCCACAGCTCAAAATTGTGGGAACAGCTTCTTGATTCTGAGTTACAGCCCCTGTTGCACAATTCATTTCTCTCTTGTTTTAAAGCTAAGCCCCTCCCTAACTCATCTGCTTCTCTTTATCTACATCCCCCCCTTGTGAGGATGCATTTAAGACAGAGGAGCTTAGTGTGGTGTAAGGACGTAAACTCACAAGTCATTGGTGTTCATAAAATTGTATTTGTATTTGCTATTATATTTAAAAGGTACAAGAGAAGCGAGAACGAGATATGCTTAATGGGCTCAGAAAGCAGCATCCATATTTCCATGACAACTGTGCCAACTTGGTCTGCTTTGAAAAAGAACCTGATGTGATCAAAATGTCAAGAAGACCATTTAATGTGTTCTTGATGGTTTCTGGGAAGGATTCAATACCTAAAAGAACACACAAATATTTATTTTGATATGGCTTTACACAGGTTAAGTATTATTTTATATTGCATTATGGCTTGTACATTTAGGACATTATTTTTTGTGGGGGATTTACTATAGGAGCTACATAACAATATTTGTATCAAAACATCTAATAAGGTATATGAGACAAAGAATTTTGTGTGTACAAGGCACAATAGTCAAAAGGGTGTCAAGTTTTTAGGGAACACTGTGAAATCTAAAGTGTTTTTATGGAAATAACCTACATGAAAGCAGAAAAAGCTGAGCCGACAACTTATAAGGAGAGGAGTTCTCTCACATTGATCATCAGTCGTATTTTTGGTGGGCAAGTATGATTTGTCTTTTTTGCCATATCAGTTGCCCCCTTGGGTTGATTTGTGTTCACTGAATTGAATCAAATTCCATTTAATTCCTCACAGGCACATTGTCCTGGTAAAGGACCATATTTCTTTTGCTGGATTCGAATTACACCGGTGACTATTTTCTAAGTGTCGTTGCTGGAATGTGTTTGTCTGTGCCAGCTGAGAGAAATGAAGAGCTCAGGGGCAACGAGTGTATTTGGCTCTGAGAGCCGGTTTGAAAATACAATAAGAATTATCAATGTGGACAAAGATATACAAAACACAGGCGTAACGAATTGAACGGCCTGTTTTTTGTTGTTTAAATGAAACAATGTCATTCTGGTTTTCTGCAGTGTTGAATTTTCTGTGATTGAAGCCAATGAGTGGCTCAAAGTGCAGTAAAAAATTGTTGTGGATTTCAATTTAACAACAATTTCTGATCTGTGATTTTACTCCCATTTTTTTTATTGTCAGAGTAAAGTTACTGTTTTCATCAAATGATGGATTTATAGGTTTGTATTGAATCTATACAAATTATGTTTTTAGCCCTGAGACACGTTTTGTGTTCTAATTGTGACATGCACTTGTTGGCAATGATGTCTTAATTTCAAGCGCGAACGTGCACATTTGTATATGTGTGGAAGTCTGCTATAATGAACCCCGGGGGAAGAAGGTGAATGCATGCACAGATGCAATATGGTATTGTGTAGCATATCATACACCGATCAGTATTGGAAAAGTCTTATTCTTTTTAAAACCTGTAGTAAATTCACCACATATGTTTTAGAAAATGAATCAGACCATTAATCGATGTCCGTTTTTCAGGTATCAATGCTGAACCTAAAACCCTTGAAACTGTGGGCTCTTGGTGGGCTAAATGATGCCGAGTTCAGCCACCAGAGGGACTTTGGTCTGTGGTTAAAGATGTTTTAGAGGCGCTGGAACAGAGCTTTGACCCACTTGACACTCTCAAAAATCTGCTATGGTTGAATTAGTTTGAATGTATGGTATATATTACTTGAGAAGTTTATTTTATTTATTTACATTTATTGTTGAGTTCTTGGTGATTTTTTAAAAATTTAATTGTAGTTTTTTTTCCATTTATTTTTAACTTAAAAAATGTGAAATGACAAGAAACATGGCACAGGTACTGGGTACTGGAATGAATATATTCTGTAGCATTATGACACATAAAATCAATTCAGCCTTGGGTTTGTTTGCCTTAGAGTTCACCCACCTGTTTGGGCTTACATAACCTATTAACGCAGATGTCTTAGGAGTCAACAACCAATAAAAAGCATAAAAGGATCTCATATTTTATGCGTAGATTATTTTTTCATGTTCTGTGTTTAGTTTGAATCTTTTTCGTTGAATCACAAAGAGAATAAACTATAACTCAGTATTTGTGAATTTTGTATACAAAATGTTCTGATTACTGAGCTCTATCGGAATAAATAATTCATTAAAGGCACTTCAAAATTGTAGTCTACTTGATAGGCAAATTTGGCATTTAATAGTTTTAAAGTAACTAAAATATTCCTTTAAAACTTTTATTTCTTTAAAAAATGATCGTGCCCTAGTTTTTTGTTTTGTTTTTCTTTTCTTTTTCTTCATGACTGTAAACCGCTGTCCGCCCTCGTTTATTCTATGCTGTGAGAGAAGCGCGCTATAGCGTTCTGTTTTGGCTTTCTCACTGCGCACTGTGCTTTACGGTAGAGGCGGGATCTCGCTCCATGTGGGTCGGCTATGATTGACATGGCGGAGTCTCCCAGTACTCGTAGCGTCGAGCCAGCAGACAGGCAAGACCCGGCCCAGGGAATTAAAAATCGCGCAGCCACGTCTGTTTGAAGATTATTTTATTGCAGCGAGGTGAGTCCTTTTACAGTTTTTAAGCAGCATTCCCCACAAAGTGGGGGAATCGAGGCAACTGGAGTGGATGTTGAAAAAGTTTTAGAAGTGCGTGTGTCTGTGTGTGAGTTTGGAGAGCTGAGCGCTGACGCCGGCAGTCTGGGCCACTTGGCCAACGCAAAGGAAAAAGGAAAATTGCTTTGCCACTGCGGAGGAGGGTGAAACGAAACTTTTTTTTGTTGCTCAAAAATTCCTTTTATTTTGAAACAATAAGGAAAAGCAAAGCAGAGGGGATAGTCGTGCTAATTCATCACACTAGTCGCGTGAATGTGTCGGACTGTGCGTTTTGGAGTCTGCTCTTTGTGGTCCCGATTTCTCAGCTTTCACCAAAGAATGTGTTTTTGTCTCCGAGGACTTCAGATGGAGTGAGTGCGCAACAGAAGAAAACCGTTGTCTCCGTGGCTTGTTTCTAATAATCAACTGTTGGTGCGCTGTGACTTGCATTGTGGAAATTGTCGTTTTTGTTGTTGCTGCTTAAAATCAGGAAATGAGCACTTTTATAGCTGGAAAATAACTTGGAAAGGAAGATGCTGAGGCAGCCAGATTTGACAGAGGGGGTTGCGAAATCATTGAATTGACACTATAGGGGATTCTGTTGTGTTGGATAACTGTCGAGAAGCGTTGAAGGGGCCGTTTAAGATCGACTTTCCGTTGACTTTGTGTGCGTTTGCAGAATGCAGTGAAAAGCTTTGGAGGAGGAAAAAAAATCCCAACTCCAGCATATCCTAGCATTCCTTCCAGCCAGCCAGTCTCTCTCTCTCACCCTCTCTCTCCCCCAGAAACGACTACGTGTCTGTTTATGCAGGAGACAAATTTTTCTCTCAGCCTCTCTGATGCAGACGTGGAAATCAAACATTGGTCTTCTGCTCGACACGATCGATTATCTGACGTCCACGTAGTTACAGAAAGACTATAGGCCCTTGTCCCACCGCATTAGGAGAAAACTTCAGATGAGTTGGGCTGCAGGATCGTTGGTAGCTTGTCAGGTTTTTCTTTTTTTTCTCCCCTTGTTTAATAACGGGACTCAATAGTTGTCATTAAAATGTCATTACTGGTGGTGGCAGTATTGGTGAGGTGTAATTGGAGCATTGATTTGGGGGTTGCATATCTCCCCGTGTTGTGCGCTTCAGGTCCACGTCGGATGATATTGGTTACGGGCTTGGGGGGATTACCCAACGCATCACACACATGTACGCTTCTTCTACTTTTTCATGGGAGAAAGTGAAGGAAAGGGAGACGGAGAAATCCGATCCCAAATAGATGACGTCACGTGACATTCCTTTGGTGAAAGGCTGATGTGGCCATGATTTTTTTCCCTTTCTTTACCCCCCCGAAAAAAAGAGAAAAAGATATCTGACTTTTCTTTGAGGGGGATGAATGAGGTCGGCTTCCAGCTGAAAAGGTGTATTTGGGTTTAGAGTGTGAAGGAATTCTCCCTGTGCTGCTTGAATGAGCAATTTATCTTGCTTCCAGGAGAGCATCAAAAACTTTTAGCATCAGACAGTTAAGTTGTGGACAGTAAGCTCAGAGGTGGACAGCTGGATGCAGGTAAAGCTTTAATCAAAGTGTGGCACTCTAACATGATTAAAAGCCTTTTCTGCTGAAAGTAGCATCTGTTGGCTCTAACTCAGATCCCAAGAGGAATCAGGTTAAAAGGTAAGATAGGCTTTCAGATTTGGGACCATCCTGCTTTACAGCTCCAGCATTATTCTTTGTGTTTCATTGGTGTCAGATTCAGCACAGCTTGTTGCCTGAAGCTTGTATTAAATGTGCAACATTGTACTCAGCTGAAACTCCTAGGATATATGTAGCAAGGATTTGCCTTAAAACTGATGCAACTTTATATCAAATGATCCTTATCTTCTCATTTTCACATTTTCTCTGTGTGTCTTTAAGCAGACACAGTCAGGTTGGGGTTATACTGGAGTCACATTGATGGAGGGTAACCATTGTTGCTTTAGCTTTCCATGTATTTTGCACAAACAGAGAAAGAACAGAGGTTGAATAACACTTTATGTAAGTTTTAAATTTGTCACACAGGTGCAGCCCACACCTTTGTGCCACTAACTGTGATGGTGCGTCACTGCCTACACATGGGGTGATTTTTAACATTGCAGCTTCTGTGATCCAATTAATTAGTTTTTGCATGAGTGACAACCAAAATAATGATGAAAAGGGAGGCTAAAATATCTTATATGTCAATTCACTGGTAAGTTCTTTTTATATGGCATACATTTTTCTTCTCTACTTCTCCAGCATCTACACAGAAAGCATACATGATATTAAAACAAGAAGCTTTGGGTCCAATATTCAGAATGTGGTTATTCTAAGAACAATAAGGAAGTTACTGTCATGTTACATGTGATTTCAGGATGCCAGGAGGATTCTCTTTGTCTTAGTACTCTGGTTCGCTACTGGCCTAATAACACTCTTTGGTATGCCTGGTTGAAATGGGGTCAGGGAATGGGCAGCCTGGATGATGCTAGCCATTGTATGTGTGTACTTATGTGTCTGACTGGTAACCTAGAACACGCTATTAAATGGGTAGTGTTACCAAGTAGCTCTTGTTTTTCAGGAACACAGGCAGATGCAGCTATAGAGTTACATAGACAAAACAATGCTGCCCTGGAATGTGTGTGTGTGTGAGCATGTGAAACAGAGGCAAACATGAAGAAACTTATGATAAAACTCCTCATGAATTCCTGTTACTGTAGTTTTTCAGGCATTAGACTTTTTTTTTTATAGTTTTTATATAGTTGTAGACATTTTATCGACCAAATAAGCAAGATTCGATTTGAAAATAATTGTTGCTTTGCTGAATTAGCCGTTGCAGCACAGTGGTGATTTAGTTCAAGAGACAAGTGTGTCAGCTTCAAAGGCTTTAGAAAAGAAGAAAAACATGCACAGTCTGTGCAAATTTAAATTTGTTACATTTATGATCTGCAGTTCTTGTCATGTCTGCATATAATCAGTAGTAATTATTATTTATAGTACTGATTCCGACCATTTAAATACATCAGTTTGCTCTGAATATTTCCTTCTAGTAACTGGTGTGTGTTTGCTGTGCACTGTGCTTCACCGCTCTACTGTATGTCTGCAGTTTCTATGTATCCTGCTGTCTCTTCTGCCATCTGGTTCTCCGAATGCAACAGGTGTGCTTCCCAGAAAAATTGCTACCTTCACTGTTACTGTTTCGGAGGTGCATTTCCTTGACAGTGATGAGAGGTCATCTTATTTGTAAGTTGGATGTGATTAGGAGTTCCTCTACTGTGAGGTCAAAAGGTCAACACCTAAAGTGCAAAAGCAGAATTTCTGTAGATTATCTCCTTGCTGCCTCTCTGGTTTTTTAATTACTGTAAGTAACACTGTCTTTTTGTTCAAGATAACGTACGAGTGTGGAGTAATGATGTCCTACAGGATGAATTTGTAGTGCAGGTTTAGTGTCCTGCATCTCTTGATTTGTTTCATGAAGTGTGTATGCAAATATACAGTTACATTAAGTTACAAATGACTCATCTGATTCATGAGGTCAAACCCTGTGTTTGCTGCAGGATGTTGTGCAAACAGACACTGAGAAAGAGATGCATGGATGTGTTATGAGAAAAAAACGGCTTTGTCCTATTTAACAACAGCAGCTGTTTGTCTGACGCTCCATGCTTTCACTTTCCATTTCCCAGCTTTTGACTGGGTGTCTCTGCTTGTTGCCACACACTCGCATCTTCGCCCACTCTTTCTCTCTTGCTCCATCTTCTTCTCTCCCAAATGAACGGTGGCTTTTTGTTGAAGTATCCCAGCATCTGATGTTTGCTTGGCATAGAACTGTAATGTTTACCCTTCTCGGCCCTTTCTTTCGTCCTCCTTGCCTTCCTCCCTGCCCCTCTTGCTCTCCAGAATCCCGTCTCCCTTCTTTTTTTTTTTTGTCTCCCTCGATAATTTCCTGTATTGTTGACAGTTGATTCAGATGTAGATGAAAGAAGCCTTTCAACTTCTCTTCCCCCATCTCCTCCCTCCCATCCCCTTTTCCATTGCATTTTTCTTTCCTCTTCTCTTGGCTTCTTCTTTTGCTAATCGTAGTGTTTGATAAAATAATTCAAACAATCTCAGTCTCAGAGTTTCAGTCTAAAATAAGACAGACAGGATTTCTCAAATGTGATGCAACTGAATGAATATTTTTGGAAATAAATATTTACAAAGACTGTCATGAAAGGTCATTGAACTTCCTCTTAATGCTTTTTTGCAAAGAAAATAGTAACAGTGTTCATTCACTTTTAAGTAAACATCTTTATAATGACTAAACTAAACAACCTAATAGGGCATTTAAAAAAATGAAAACAAACTGCTGTTCTTATGCAGCAGATTTATTACATTTTGACAGTTAAAAGAAACGAGGAGCTCGTTAATGAATTAAATGATTGATGGTTATTTTCTTGTCAGTAATTTAAATAATAGGTTACCCTGGGTCATTTTCAGAATCCCTTTAGACTCCTAGTTAGGCAAAAGCTATTTCAAGGCATATACCTGGAAACTATACAAGTCATTTTCCCTTTGTTATGATGTTTTACACACTGAATGTTGTGTGTTGGTGTCTGCCAGTGTGCTGCATGGAATACACTCTAGCTTGACCCTTACACCAGTCACTTAAAGAAAGTTATAATGGTTAATTAAGCTTTTGTACCATTTTAGTAACTTAGCAAAATTTGACCTGTTCTGTTGATATCCAAGCATCACTGCACGTGAACAATGCTAAACATGATTCACTTCTCTCTTTGTTTAAGCAGAGCTAATGAATATAATCATTAGTTGCAGCCATATTTCTATATGAGGGTAGATGACGCATAAGCTGGAACAGTACTTAAAGTCCAGCCACAAGCAGAAATTTGAGCCACGTATATTCGAATACCTTACGTGCATTTCAATGCACAGCAATACTGGCACATGATTCAACTTGTGCCCTCGCTTAAATCTTTGATTTTACCAACTGGTGCTATTGAAACATCTCACCTGCTGAGACACAGACTAATAGTTAACGTGATAGAGTCAAAGAATTTTGACAAAGAGGTAAAAGTTTCATAACAAGAAGGCCGGCTGCCAAATTTATCATCAACTTAGTATCTAAGGTAAAAAAAAAAAAAAAGGTTTGAATGATTCAAATGAGGTGTGTATCTCTCGGTCACCCTGCCCTCCTTTTGCCCTTTCACAGGCCCTAGGCGGTATCATCCATAGAAATGGCTTGTTGAAGAGATGCCTCTGTGTGAGCATGCACAGTCAGCTGGCCAAAGACATTAATTGTGCATATATATATAATATATATATGCACACAAAGACACAGACACAGCCTTGATTTAACACATATGCATGAAATGTA